GTTAAAACCTATTCGATTAAAAACTGAGGGTAACTGAGGGGCTCAAAAAAGTCTAGAATATCACTGGGAAATTGACCTCTCGATGATGGCTTGATTATTTCCAGCGGGTTCGACACACATATATTGCCAAATGTAAGATATCTTTCCTGGCTTAAAGATGGAGATGCTGTCAGTTTCACTTGCTTGTATTCTTGTATTTTACAACGAATGAAGCCGTTAAAATCATAAAGTAAGTTCATCACTCTCCTTTTATGCCTCAGAATGATTGTTTCACATTTTGCAATTAATTTTGTGTTTTCGACTGTGTTAGATCTTTTCACAAATACACACCACAAGGGCAGAGGCCGTCAGACTTATCTAAATCATAGATCATTTCTAAGATTGCTCCTGACATAACTGATCCTATATTGTATTGCGGTAGCACGCAAGCCACACCTTTATAAGTTGAGCATGTCTTGAGATGGTTTTTCGCGATTCAATTACACGAACGGATTTCAATTATTTAACTCTGACTGCGAAAAAGTTTTATGTTATGACCACAGAGTGGTTTACTTAACAAATTGTTTTAAAATTCTTCCCGTCTCCAATTCGAAATCAGGGACCTCTCCTGAATGGTCAACTAAAGTAATGTTTTAACAAATCATTTAGTTGTCCGAAGGCTCGAAATTGTTGCCCAAACTGTGATTGAAAATCCCACGATATGAGCAAGGGCATTTAAAAGAATAGTGGTTTTGATCATCCGAACATTCGAAAGTGCAAAGTTTAGGTCAAGATCGGCAAGTAGACACATTTAACAAACTGATCCATTTGTGAGACGTGTCTGCATTTTATCACAAGGGCTCGTTGATAGGGTGCACCCCCACACTAGCTAGTTTTTCCCGGTCAGTGCAAATTTTCAGGCATTTCCTTTCCTTTGTAGTTTACAATTTCGTTACTGTTTACCGTAAAAGCTCGATTTGAATCGGTGTTGATGTCTGTCGTGTACCAACCATGGCTAATTTCGCCGGTGAGATGAAACATTCAGTGTACATGACCTCAGGACAGACCAATGTAGTAATTTCAGTCACTGACTCCATTGCAGTATATTAAAGGTTGGTTTACCACATAATTATTAGCGATTGCTTAAACTGTATATGATTTCTAGATTTTGAGACGTTTATTTTGCACACTAAAGCCGCAGACTAAAGCTCCTAAACTGTAGTTGATTCTACGATCAAGGCTGAACCGGTTTTCAAATTTCTTTGCAACTGTGAGTTCGTCATTCCCAACAATGATTTTCAAATCGGCCTTTAGGGTCGCATTTTACAAACTTAAACTCATTGCATCGATCCTTTTTCTCTGCGGTTAAAACACGATAAAGTACTCTTCTGTCGGATAAATCTGTTTAGGGCCGCACTTTACAAACTTAAACACATTGCATTGATTCTTTTTCTCTGCAATTTAAAACAGGACAAGGTACTCTTCTGTCGGATAAATCTGTTTTAGGCGCCAAGTAGGAATCACGATGTCACGAGTTACTCATGCCCATGATCACATCTATTTCATTTCCGAATCTAGGATGCTAATCCCTAAGAGATCAAGTAGACTTTCTAAATCTCACTTGACATTGTAATTTCGGACTTCTATCTATGATTCAAGGGTCATGATGATGTGAAAGCCAGCTGGTGTCGAGTCTTTTTGTCAGTTCCAGTTATATAACTACAAAAAATTCGAAGATCATTAAGTTATCTTGACCTGAGTACTTGGACGACGAAAACTTGGACTATCTGGTTTGGGTGAGTTGTTATTTATTAGATTCTTTTATTAGTTTTCTGCCTTTTAATACATGAGCCATAACGAAGCCATACCAGTCGTAAAAAATCTGGGGCTGTTTCTACATGGATCTACATACAGTCTATATCTGTATTCCGTAGTACAGTCTGAGCTAAACTTCTAACGTCTTGTGTTACATGCGCATCGAACCATTTAGCAGAAGTGTACCAGAGGATTTTATTTAATAAACCTTGTACCGCGGTATATTGATTTCAAATTGCTCCTAATAGATAATTATAAGCATAAAAAAAAAAAAATAATTAAAAAAAAAATAAGGTCAAGTTAAGGAGGGACATAAGCACGGCTCTTCGCGTACTTTTTTCCCCGAATAAGATAGTCCCATAATAGTGTTCTCGAGATCCGACATCTACATGTAAACTGGCTGAGTTCAGCTGATCCGGCGATCTGATAAAAGTTATTCAACAAGCTATAAATCAGTCATCCTTTAGTTTGAAGCTTGGATAAATTCATGCTTGAAACAATGAGAGAATCACATCGTCAGATAAAAGATATTAATTAATATGATCTAGAATCTTTTTTTCCTAACGGAATACTTGCCTCTAACTTGTTTGGCAGTAAGGGAGACGAAGTGCTCTCCCGATCCTTCGTTTTCATATCATCTCGAGTATTTCATCATGATGTTGTGAGGTACTGTGCAAAAACGTCATCTGACTTCTAGTCAAAATCCCAACGTCTTTATAATCTTTAAACGTACGTCTATGCACGTTTATGACCATCTGAATATTATGAACGTTACTTATACTACATAACCTTTGATAACATTTCTCATACTTAAAATCATTTCTATTTCAATGAGTGCAAGAGATGGTCTCTCGATGAGTCATTACATATAGTACAAGGTTATGTAATGACTCATAAGCATGAGTCATAACGTATAGTACAAGGTCTTCGCTCGTCTTCAGTTTATGCCACCTAGCACTCAAAGATTGAATAGAAAGACCCACGCAATCTCTGTGGAAATTCAACATGACTGAGAGAAAAATCGGTCTTCCTTCTAGGCCTTGAATTAATTGTCAAGGCGCTATAGCTGCAATAAATTAAAGGGGCTCTACTCATGTCGGGGTAAAGCATAATTCGTGCAGGAGCATTGTAAAAGATAAACCTATTCGTGGGCCTCCATTGAAGTAGCATTAAATGAAATAACTGTTGATGATGGAGGAGCTTACTGCACAACACTGAATTGACCTTTGTTCTAAGCCCTCACTAACTTCGTAACTGAGGAAGAACAGGCCAATGCAAATTCACTTGGAGCTGCTATAATTGTGTGCAAACGGAAGAATCTTAGTCGAAAGCATAAAAACCTATCCTAAATTTAGTGAGGGCAAAAAGCTTGCAAAAAAAAAAATATAATTTCCAGCGCAAAGAAATGGGTCGTAATTTGATATTCATATGATAATGATTTAATAATTTTTTCGGTAATTGCTGAATTAGTTTACTTAGGTAATATACAATAGATTCTTTAAAACTTTCTGTATTGACTAATTAACCCTGAAGTCTCAAACGAGCCGAGCGATAAACTCTGTCCATGTTGGTAAATTATACTGTTCTATCCCATGATCCTGGCAGTATTATGCATATCATGAGGTCATTTGCTCGACACGAAAGTTTATTCTAATGTTAGAGAGTTAAGTCCAGGCAACTGCTACGTGAAATAACTTACTAAAGGCGATGGCGTCCTAGTGGTATTATGCACACAGATTATTTTCTCGACAAGAAAAAGTTAGAGTAAGTCTGGGCAACTGCTACGTCGAATAACTCACTATGTGCACTGACTTCCTAGTAATTTTATGCACATAGGTCAATGTCTGGACAAGAACGTAAATTCTAACGTTAGAGAGTCATCTGGGCAACTCAGCTAGGTGAAAAAGCTTACTACGTAAGTTGACCATATAAACAAACAGTGTGACTTGGGAGGTTTTTGATGTTATTCCTTTGCAGCTACAGTAACTAATAAATACACACACGGGCATACTATTTTCTTGAGCATGGTGAGAAATGTTCAGGACTGAATGCTTAGCAACTGAACAGGTATTAGTATTTTGGTATTTTGAGAGTGAGATTTAGGATAAAGATGTCTGTCGATCGTTTGATAGAAAAAACTTATAGTATTATATTATCTTAAACAGAACATCCTCTCAATCTTTACGAACAGACAACTACGGCGCCAGCCATTCTGTAGGGTTTTGCTTTACATAAGAGCGTTCAGGGAGGAAAATCTCCATAGAGTTTATACTACTTCCATACTCTGTGACGGTTCATGCTTCTGAAATCATCCTGAGCGGGTGCTTAATTAGCATACCCCGGAATACAGTACGTCAGTCTGAAGTAGTCTCAGTGTTCTCGAATTTCTTCTAGTACATCGATTTACTCCAGTGCCGATAACTCAGAAAATTATACCCCGAGTTCATAACATCGGGCAAGTCTCAGAGCCAGAGTTATATCATAGTTTATAGAGGGGGGGAATCGTTACGAAAGCAGAAAAAGTTCTTTGTTGCATGTTTTTGTTAACTTTTTTGGCCTTGACCCGCGGCGTGCTCAAAACACAGTAGCTGATTACTTCTGAATGAGGAACTAACCAAGAGACTACTTTCGATATATTAAAATTCAGCTTGGCAGTGAGGCTTAGAGGACACAAACAAAGGAACCTGAATGACCATGTTTATTCATTTCTTTAGTTTGAGTCCTCTAAGGCTCACTATCAAGCTGAATTTTAATATATCAAAAGTGGCCTATTGGAACGTTTTGGTTACATAATTCATGCGCATGGTGTATGACTGGCCGCAAAACAAAAGATTGTGCACAGTCGTGGACCTTCCTGCATACTTGCCATCTTTGTTTGTTCATTTGATGTTTGGCGGGCTTCACAACCATTCCTCTCCGTTAACTATGGTTATATTTACTAAATCAATCCTTTCAAACAATTCATTGTTTTTGCAGAACTGAAAACACTCTAACACGAGGCAGCATCTACCGATCAAGAAGCCACTGATGGGCTCACAACCGTCATGTATGGTTCAACCCAACGTATTCCTACACAGCGGAAATGCATCTCGTAAGGAAATGACATCTATCGCTAACCAAAAGTTGAGATTATCAACAAATAATTTTTTGTATTATCATTATCTTTTTTTTTTACACTTTGTTACTTACACTTACACTTACACTTACTTAAAATACGACATTACAAACTGAAATACTTAATTACTGCATGCATTGGGTTCATTAAGTATGTAAGATTGCACAAGAACACATTAATTTACTAGCACGTTACCAAATGCTTGGTCAGAGGGTAGAAGCAGATAAAAATAGGTCAGACTTTGTTAGCTGGGTAGCCTGCGTAGGAAGCATTTTCACATTTGGACATGACAAAAATTGAAAAAAGTGGAAAAAGGCGCGGCCATTGATCTGTGCACCAATTCTCAGCTTTATTCGAACAGGAACGTTTCCTACGAAGGCTTTTAGGTGGAGTAAATCCTTCACAAGAAGAAGTGGACACAAAATATTATTAAGCCTTCTTCAAATACTAAAACACACGCTCCCACAGTACACGGCTAAAACCCGAGACGGGCCATGACACAGAAAGTACATCCAGTCTCATCAAGCACAAAGTACATTGTTAATCAGTAGTAACCATGTTCATCTTTCCACCTTGGTCATCTTTCCTTAAGCTTGACAAGCTTTTCTTCTTCATTCTCTTTAAGTCCTTTATTGTCTCATTCAGATGTCTCACAGGCATAACCTACCAGCTTGATCTCAGGTTTTCCAGGCATGCTTAGAAAAGAGGAGGAAAGAGATTATAAAAAGAAACAAAATATTTGGTGGATAGTTGAAAGTTTTAATATGAACAGAAATCCCCGCAGGCCCGCAGGAAAGAATCTTTCAAGAGTCGAGATTTGCAAGTCAGACAATCTGTCTTAATTGAATTTCCTGGTATCAAACTGGATGATCTGCTGTTATTCTCGCTGACAATAATAAACCAATCCAGGCGACTTGCAGAACGTTCGAACTCTCGATTGAATTCCGCTTCTCCCAATTCCACCTCAGTTTCAGGAGAAGCGCGATGCAAAGACTTATGGGCTGGAATTTTAGAGAAAACCTTTTCGAAGGCCCTCAGAAAGCGTAAATTAAATCATATTGTCAGACAGAGCGACAGCAGGGCGTGTGGTCTTAGGTTTTAAATCTCTCAGATCCAAGAAGCGATAGGGAAAATATTCTAGCAATTTAATTGTGAAAGTGAGTGCTAAATCCAGATGCGCACAGCGATTTCTAAGTCACAGACATGCTTCTGGGCACGGCAACATAAGTCGAGAGCTGTAAGTGTTACCCTTGAAAAAGAGCTTGCATTTCGCGTTTATACTATCATCGCAGATGAATAGTGGATAAGACCTTGATTTATTGCCGCTTTTAAAATAGAACAAGTAATAAGCAGCGACATCAACTCCCAAATCCTTGTAATGAAACTTTATCAAATGTACGCATAACAGCTATTTGTTAGGGTTCGATATCAAGATTGGTAATAGCACTGAAAAGCGCTTACTGTCTAATCTCTCTTTACCAATCTGCGCAGTGGTAATCATACACTACCAAATTGTTTACACAACAGCTAAGCGTGTAGCATAAACAACCCGAATCGCAAACAATTACCAATTAGCCCGCCAAGTAGACAATCGTGCAAAAGTGCGGCTCCGGCCGCCCATGTGTCGAGTGATCTTTGTGGCGTCGGGACATGAGCTTATCAGCTCTAATTACTTTTGGCGTAATTAGATAATTGGACAGCTGACTTGACGGCTTGTTAGTCATCTCTGCCTGCCTTGCCTGCCAGTGGCCATGGTCTTATGTTTCTGTTAACAACTAGCATTGCTGTCCTAACGAGGCGCCTAAAGCTTCGGCGCGTAATCAATCCTTCCCTTCTGACGGAAACGAACGCGCGCGTTTTTATAAAGCGCACCTCGGGAGTGTTACCTCACTCATTTTGGCGCCGGCTTCCACGGGAGCAAGACAGGGATTATGAATTTTCATCCTGCAACGTTTAATCTCATGTTGTCTGAAGGCGAATCCTATGCGCACGCAGCTGGTGGAAATGTTCGCTACTCGTGCGCGACAAACGCTGGAGCAGATGCAAATTTATTCCAATACCCAGTCACTCTTGGTAGCCTAGCAGACTTGAGTTCCGACTCCGAAGTTGAAATAATCGAAGCCATAGGTATGCATATTTTGAAAATACCTTTGTTTGTAAAGTCGCGCGTCTCGCACTACATGACTGTCCATACGCGCTCTCGCGGCCTCCTAGCATATCGGTGAACAAAGTTAACGGATAAATCTCTTTCTGTTCCTTTTTTTTGCTTCGATGCGATGCCATCCTGTAGAAATTCCTATCTTACCCAAGAAGCGAAGAAGCAGGACGAATTTCGACGCTTGGCAACTCGGCGAGCTTGAGAAGGTCTTCAGGAGAACACAGTATCCAGACGTATTCACGAGAGAAGCACTCGCCCTGAAGCTGGACTTACTCGAGTCAAGAGTTCAGGTGAGGAGAAAACAAATGTCGCTAAAATATTCAAGCCACATTACTTGTGGCCCTTGTGTTATTGCTGGCCGGGCATATTGTTATTGTGTTTGCAGTCTTAGTTGTGGCTTCGCCAGCACAAGAACTTCAGAGCTCCATCAGATTTCCACCTTAATTTTCGTCCGTATTAGAATATCGGTACTTTTTCGTTTAGTAGTCGGGTTATGATGAGCTGTACAGATCTTTGGCTAGCATTTGGTTTGAAAACAAAGTTCGCACAATACAATTTGTAACAGATGCCGGACCGATAATTCTCTTAACACGTTTCGCAAGTTACCTCAGTTATTTTTCACACTAGTCAACTGAACGATGAACAGACTCTTGAGCTTAGTGCAAAACTCTAAGACTTTCTTGGCCTAGAAACGCTCCTTTTTCTCAAAACAATACCCGGAATCGGCATTTCTCTTACCTTTCATTCTTTCTCAGTTCGTAATAGTCGGATAAGTCAAGCATTAGAAAGTTTTAGAACAGAAGGTTGATTTATGGTTGGGAACGAAGGGGACACCCAACTGAGATGGTTCCTGTCGTGTTCCTCGATTTACACACCTAATTGAATTTAGCCAGTTGTTACCAACCACTTTTTGTCAATAGGCGATTAAATAATTCCTCTATTTGGCCATCTAAAGACAGTGTTCTACCACAGTTGCACGCCATGTTTCCGCCCAGAGCTTGCAGTAGAGTTTAAAATAAGCAATGGAAGCCATTTTGTGATAGCGTTTCTGTTATCGCACAGAGCTCGTAATGGCGAAAATTTTACTGGCGACTCCAAGTCGCCAACAGCTTCCGTTTTGCGCGTCCGAGACACGGCTTCGTGCAGAGATTTCGTCTCGTTTTCCTTGAAATTTCAAGGCATAAACTTAAAAAACTAGTGCGAAAGGAAAGCAACGCAGCTACTAAATCGAGAAAACACTTTGCTGTAGATTCGAAGATGTGGTTTTATTTGTTCGTTAGTTGAGGGTGTGAGATTTAGCAGCATACGTGTCTGAGATGGATGAGAATTTAAACCAGTTCCCACCTTGCCAGCTAATCAATAAATAAATTGTCTGTCGGGTTTCAAACTGTTTAAATTGTGCGAAGAATTTCTGAAGTTTGGTTTTGTGAAGTGCTTTTTGGTTTTAAAGGAATGTTTTTGGGGCGCGCTGGTTTAGAATCCGGCGTTTCGTTCATCTCCTTTAACGCCTTTAAACGGTGTTAAAACCTTCATTGTTAAGCACTCTTTAGAAGCTCTAATTGACTAAGAAACCACAGTTCTCCGATGATTAATGCTGCTGCCGATCTTCAAATATTTCTCGACCGTCCAACGCTGTAAGCATGCAAACAAATTGTAGTTAATGGCTTAGCCATTCACCTTTAAACAACAGCATTTCACACGCAAAACATAACAAAGTTGTGAGTGTGATATAATTTGCTTTATAGTAGGCCATGGTGGGAAACATTTTCCCTGCAAATGGCTCCTCTGATGGGAATTACTTCCTCAGTTTAACCTCGAAGGTTTTTGCTTGTCAAAGCATAATAAATTACTGTGAGTAGGGTCACGATTGATTAATGTGCTGTAGAAAGAGGAAGCCGTTACTTTTATCTCCTCGAACGCATGTTAAGATACTTGGTCTTATGTTTTTGCACATGGCCACATTTTTTGGCAGAAGTGGCTTAAGTTGAATACGATTCAGTTTGCTACCAAAAAAATGCTTAGAGTTTGGTTTGTACAATTGGATGTGTAAACATGTTTGAAGCGATGAAAACGTCGAGTTTTGTTTACATACGTTGTAAAGTTATATGGTCTCGTGGGTTAGATTAGAGACAAGAGTAGTAGATTTAAATTCTCGCAAAAATGATTTATATTTGAGCTGTCTTAAAATTTAATAAATGAAGAATGTGTCCATTGTTGTTTGCTGTAACTGGTTTAGTTTTTGTCTTCGTGTGGCATTGTGTTTGCTTCTGCACTAAAATGGGTTCTCCCTTGAAAATTTCAGTTCTGGTTTCAAAACAAACTTATGCGTCCCGTGGGTTAGATTAGAAACTAGGGTAGTATATTTAAATCCTCACAGAAATGATTTAGGATTTAGTTGTCTTAAAATTAAGTAAATTAAGATTGAAAAATATGTCCAGTGTTGTTGCTTGCCGTGATTGGTTTAGTTTTTGTCTTCGCTTTGCATTGTGTGCTTTTGCACTAAAATGGGTTCTGCCTTGAACATTTCAGGTCTGGTTTCAAAACAGGAGAGCAAAACTGCGAAGAGAAGAGAAAACCAAAGCGAGACCTGGCAGGAGAGAGAAGAGTGAGGTTGAAAAATCAGCTGTGACGTTGAAAATTCTCGAAGTGTTCGACAGGGAGTTGACTTCAGGGAACAATTCAGAGGAAACTGAACCTCTCTCTCCACGGAGTGTGGAGAACAATGCACAGCCATCGCTCTCATCGCACTCTTTCAGCATCGAGAGCATCCTGTCACGAAAAGACCCTCCACATCCACAAACTGAAAAACACACCACTGTTTCCCAAAATATCGGCAAAAGCTTTCGAATCGAACAACTCATCGACGCGACTAAAGCAATGCAAGATAGAGTGACTGACAAGAAGGGTTCTTCTACTGGTCAAGTGAAGCCTGCATCTGTCACGACTTCTTTAACAAACACTAATTTAAATAAAGCAGCCAACGCTAAAGGGAGAGAAATAGAGAAAAAGAAAGTCCAGGGTGACGCCACAAACATTTGCGCTGAAAAAGCCACAGTGCTGGCACCATTTTATGTTCCTATGGCAAGACATTGTGGTTCATATCAGAAGTTACCCGAAAGATACGTCCACGCAGAAAATGTGTCACCTTACAATGCTGAAATGTTTGAAAACTTTCGTAGCTCCAGTATTTTACGATTGAGAACGAAAGCAGAGGAACATCTGAAGCAACTTCGAGTTTCTTAGGTTAGCTGACTTCTCAAGAAAAGAAAATAGAGTTCCTCAATGGAATTCAACGTGTGACATAAATGTCATGAATATTTTGTTATGTTTCTGAAATGTCCCGCTTTCTTACAATCCCAGTATTTAAATACACTTTGTCAAGTACGCATGCTAGTTCACATTTTCATATACAACAACCTGAAGTCTTTATACAGTCCAGTGCAAGTTTTACAAGTAATCTAGAATCTCGTTCCTCCTGCAAACTCGTCTTTACAGGATATCTATTTCTTTTAATTCAGTTTTCGTCATGAAAAATTCATTATTTATTCATTGTTGTTTTATGCTGCGATTTTCACTGAATCGATCCTGTAGTTTATTTGATCCAATTATGCCACATTCTTCTTTTTCTGCTCAACTCGTATCTATCTATACAGATGGTATTCTTCTGACATTTGATAACTGCAAGTGATAAATTATCGTATTTCGTGACTTGGTACTTGTCAATAACTGTCTCGTTAGGGACTGCTAAATACCGATAGATGATAGTACATTGTTAAGATACTAAATCTCTCCACGTTTTGTAACCAACCCTCTGCTGTAGTCCTAAAGATTTAGAATTCTTCTTAAAACGTAAACTGCGGAACCAAAACACATTTCTTATATATATATAAAAAAAAAAAATTAACCTAGACATAATTGTAACGGATACTTTACCGTCTTTGAGATATTTTCAAGAAGCATTTAAAGATAAACCAGCTTTGTTATTTCGCTTTGGCTTATTTATTATTTTTACGACGGCTTTCTCTGTTGATTAGAAAAGGATTTTACTTCATTTGCGTTTCCTCTTCAACATCAAACAAGGCACTCTGTTCTGACAGTGAAATGCATGCACGCAAATCGAATATACTTGTGGCTTTCCCCTAAATTCATTAAAAAAGATGATAAAAAGCATTGAAAGATATGTGTTGCTAAGAAAGGCGACCTTTCTTTATTTACACAAAAAATGATCCCCTTTACTCATCGGTTTGTGTATCTCATAACACCACCATGGCCACAAGAGTTTATCAGAAACCGCAACTTTATTCTTGCATTCACAGTGAAAAAAGCTCGGGATACAAGCTAATCCTTACAATGGTCCGTCTGTTGGATGACATGGTTTGGCTTACATCCAGATCTGCAGATTAACAGATTTACAAGTCGCGATTAATGTTTTAATAACGATATTTCTCGAACGAACCTCTGGCGGAATAAAATTAACTTAATCACAATAAACCGATTAAACGTCGAAAAAAATCGGGGTTGATTTGAAAGCCAAAAAACTCTCAAGGAAGTGAAATCAAAATCAGTTCAAAATATACGAAACCAGGAAATTATTAACAAAGGAAACATCGAGTGGAAATTAGGTTAATCGTGGTTTCATCTACGCCACACCCTGACTTCTGGTATATTGAAGATCTTATCAACAGTTTAAACACCGCAAATGTTTGTCTTTGTTCATTCCCTCGTTAACGAAGACTAATTTGAAAAACGAAGAAGCCCAAGTATTCAGAGAACGCCAGATTCGCCTGAAGTGATTAGAGATAACGGCCTTGGCAGCCATATATCAAAATTCTTTGTAGGTTTCAGTGCTTCGTACTCAAAACGACGAACTGTGTTGGACCAATAAACGCCGGCGAAAGAATTCATTCTTTCATAACATTTTACTGGTACTACCTTTCTTTCAATGGCTGAAGCAATTTATTGCGGCATTCGTGCCAATGTTTGGTTGATTAGATGTTGATATCGAAAGGCTTAAAAATCAATTGATGGGTCCGCAAAACAGAATAACGAGATTATGTCGTGAGAGTCCCTTTAATCTGAGAGTCAGATTAATTTCCAGAAAGAAAAAATAAACAGTGCTAAAGTAAATTCCTTTCCACTAGTATATAGCCGATGACAAACCCTTGTTTTCAGTTTTTCATTAAGGGGTAAAAGATGCAACATGGCGACAAGGCCCCGTTAGAAGGCATTAGTTACCACGACACTCGTATGTGTTTTTTCGAGAATATTGGCTTTGTCGGCTGTGGTATTCTAATTTGAGACCTTAATGCCCGTACCCAAAAAACGTATTGCCCCTTAATCGCGGGCAACTTCTGAACCGTCTTGATTAATTAATTTTCAACTTACTTCAATTTTGAGGTCGATGTCAATCAAAAACAGTGAACGAACAATTCAAAAAAACAAACAAACAAACAAAAAAAACCCATTTATTTCTGTTTGTAAAACAAGAATTCGTCGAGTGTGGTATTAGATAGGAAATTTTTAGGGCTTGTGCTTGCTCTGAGTGACTAGCTTTCAAACATTCTGCTGCTTGTCAAGACGCTTTTGACATTAATAACAAGGAACGAGACACGGTAATTCCGATGTTTTACAAACAGATGAATACTACATGCAGTTTCCTGAGAAAATTGTTTGTTTGGAAAATGACTAGCGATGCTCATCAGCAATGTCGTAATTCAGCGAATTTAATTCCCTCCAGAATGATGATCCGTTCACACCACAAAACGTTTAACACGTTATTAAGCAATTACCTCGAGCCAGGTTGACCTAACAGAGGGTCTCAATGGGGCGGTGGCTTTGGCTCGTTTTGGGGTTAACGCCCAGGGGAGTACTCCCAGAAAAATTGGGTGGGGGTGTGCGGCCCGCTTCCCAAAACCCTTACTCTATTCATGACCAAAATCTGCGATATTCCCTACCCTATTTATGACCTGACCATAGATTCGAAACTCTATTTATGACCTGACCCTTAAATCAAAACCCTGTTTCAGACCTGCATTATAATTAGTTCCCTAGTCCAGACCAACGTTAAATTACCGTAAACATAATTTGTGAAGGGCTTTTGTTGATTTTCTCTTTTCTCTTGATTTTTTTCTTTTTGTTGATTTTGTGTTCGATTATGATGAAAAAGTGGCTTCTCCTTAAAAACATACCCATATCAAGGCTAGAGTGCAAAAACTATACCCTATTTATGACCATAATGGCCAAAATCAGCTAAATTCGATACCCTATTTATGACCAAACGGCTGAAAAATCATACTCTTTGGGGCCGCACATACCTATATAGCCCATATAAGGGAGTACCCCCCGCGGGGGTTAACCGTTAACATTTGGGCTTTTTTACGGCTAATGGTTAATCTGTTTTCCAAACGGTTAACAGGCTTAGAATTTGAATTACCACTGCTTCAAAAATTTAAAAATTAATTTTCATCATCTACTGTGGTCTTATGACCATTCCGGAAAGGAAAATGAAGTATTATAATTATTACAAGACAAGAAACAAAAAGAGTATTGACAACAGATCTTGAGACTTGCACTTTCGTGGCTAAATTTTTAAGGCTAACATTAACACGGCTAATGGTTAAAATTTTCCAGTTTTTACGCCTAACGGCTGATTTTTGGCTCCCTTTACTGCTAACGGCTAATCCCATTGAGACCCTCCTAAAATTGCTTCGCGTCTCAACGTAGACTGCTGGCAGCCGGTCTTTTCTCTAGGCTAAAGCGTCTCGCCTCATAATTTCTGCTGAATTTTGAGAGAAAAAAAGACTGCCAACAGTTTAGTTTCAACTTTTTGCTTCTCATGTGAAATCACAAACTGCAGTATGTTATATCATTATATGGCTAGTTCCGTGTCCGTGAGCTGGCAAGATGAATCAAATCCTGCTCTATGATTGGCTACCCGAGCGGGCAAGATGGAGCTATCTTGCCCGCTCGGGACTACCCGCCTTGTCCCGCAAGAAAAATTTCCCCATAATCCCTGTAATAAATCCTTTACTGACCAAGCTTGTTCGGTCAAGATGCCTTGATATTGACCTCGTTCTTTTTTTGCGAGTTTATGGTCAATAACCCATATATCTAATAAAACATTTATTAGCATTCCAGTTTTCTACCATTAACTGATGAAAAAAACTAATGTTAAATTTGTCTGGATAGGCTAGCGAACATTTTTGGGTAGTTCCCCCACTTCGGCCTCCGTAAGATACTTGTCCGGTACTTGTTTGGTCTCCCTGTGGAGGCGCGGTGGCCTCATCATGCTCATACTTAGTGTGCTCGACTACGGATCGTGCGTCCCCTTTCGAGTCCTGGCCGGGGACTTTGTGTTGTGTTCTTTACTTTGCCCTCGCAGTGACTCTCCCCACCAAGGTATATTTTTGAGTAATCATGGCGAATTTAATTCTGGGGGTAACCCTACGATAGACTTGCATCCCATCCAGGGGGTGTGTGGAAATACTCCTAGTCGCTTCATGCTACAGAAACCCGGAGAAGCTGCGGCCTTTTGGGCCAATTGGCTCGTATGCAAACCTTTTTTTACTTGATCTCCCTAGGGTTCCACACGCACGACCTTGGTGACGGTATGAAGATGAAAAAGGATAGCCACTTTAATTGGTTTACTGATAAGCTCTGCTGCTTTTTCTACTCCACGATTTTTTTTTAGCTGGAAGGTAGCCACACAAAGTCGCTGACGATACGGGCATAGATAAACCCATGTGTTTAACGTAAAATGTCCGCAATAAGCGCTCCTCCCACTTATAAGCACCCTGGCTTTTTTACAAGCTGTCTCTTATCACAATCTAAAAGTTGCTTTCTTGTCAGTTCATAAAAAAACGTTTTTTTTCTAATACCGCTTCGAAGCCCCTCCCATCAGTGATAAGCAAACCCCCAAAATACTACGATGAGATCATAAAGCCCAGGGCTTATAACCAGTATAATACTGCATACGGCTCCCCTAGGCTAGATTAAACGTTTAACCATGACAGATGAGACTTCTTTTAATTTTAAATAGTTAACGAGAAACATCCCTGGGAGTCCAGAACTTCTGAACTGCCGAATATTCTTTGCTAGTCTTCTTAACTGGAAGTTTTCCATATCAGTCGCCACGATCGGCACAGAATAGTAATGCAATAAAGAAAATACCCGATAAGGCGTGTAGACTAGGACTGAAAAAATAAAAACAACCACGCAGAGTATTCTGGAAAATTTACCATATAAACGATCGCTGGAACAATCTACGGAGAAGGGTTTCCATTTGACCGCAGCGATCGCTACGATTGACGAGATAGATCTGAAATCTTTCTCAGCGGCTACAACAACTTTAAAATGTTTAAGCAAGCAACCGGAACGATGATCCTGCTGGTATACGTTGGATCAATAATCAATGATCTAATCGGCTTTAATTATAAAATGAAGAATACAAAAGCAGAAACCGACACAACGTAGAATGATTTTTTGAAGGTGTACCATATTTCGGCTGGCCAAACCAGCCCTCTTTAGGTACTATGAGAATTTTACGTTGGGATGCGTTTTTATGTAACATATTTTCGTAAAACAGGAAATACGTAAAACTAATTGACAGTGTAAATTAAAGATAAGCATACGGTAAAATAAAATAATGAAATAACATAACAAAAGGAAACAAATAATATGTTTCTTCGCGGATGTTTGATCACTGATCTCATCTCTCAGAAATCCTAGCGATCGCAGCGGCAAGGGCGAGGAACGATTCTTCCAGCCGATCCAAACCTACGCCGAGCCATGCCTAAATCAAATGGTCTTAAAATCTATCTGTTTGGAAGTATCAACCAAAACATACATCAGCGAAAATTACACTGTTTCAGCAGTCGGTCAATGCAGTGACATCCCATAAGTATTGGCTCTTGTGCTATCTTTTTATGTCACAATGTTCTGTCAACCAGCGTGTGTGTGTCAAATATTTCCCGCTATTTGTTAAAAAG